ACCAACTTTTCTCTCTTGGCGAGGGAGTGAACGCGCTGCCAATTTTGGCGCGTTTATCGCACACGCTGGCTGAATGTCTGCTGTTTTTTTTAAAGATTTATTTTATAGACGCGCGGCATTCAGCGCATATAACTTTTCGGATAATTTATTAATTCTCGAATAGTATATAGACGTTTTCACTTGAATAAAAATTTCGCGTATATTTTGTAAACATATTCAAAATAACTTATTCTTTAGATGTTTCAGTTTCGTTAGCAGACTAAAATAAATAAGATATGAATAAAAACTTTCAATAGTGTCAAATGGGGAAATAGTTAAAGCGTAGAGCGTGCAAATAAATTTATCTTAATGACATTTTAACAAAAATTTCAATAAAAACACTGTAAATTCATACTAAAAAAATAACTTAAGAATATGTTGTCATTTAAGTCTGAGGTATATGGAAATAATTGTGCAAGATTCTGAAGAAACACTTTTTTTTAAATGTGTGAAATATTTCATAACATATATGGAAGAAGAAAGTACAGCATTCTGAGTTTTGGATGCTTTTCTCCAAATGTAATATAAATACGAACTAGAAACCGTAATAAAAAGTCCTTCCCCTCCAATCAGATCACCTTTGTGTTGCATTGTATTTGTAATACTTCTAAAAATCCAATTTTTACCTAAATTAAAAAACAGTTATTACATAAAAGATAATAAATTTGAACGTATAAGAATGAATTTTGTAATTTGAGTTATGTTACAAAATAATTCATAGTTTATATATTTTATACTAATAATTTAGATAAAACCTGTCCTTTTACAATTTAAGAATGTGTGTTAACCACATTCTTAAATTGTAAAAGGACGACTTAACCACATGTAATTCATTTCAAAGCATAAAAGAAAGCTTATTTTTTTTTATTTTAACACAGCAACAGCAGTTTCATGCAGTCAAGTTTTTTTAACTGCTAGTTATTATACATAATACTTAATTTTAAACCCATTTTATTAGAAAGCATAACTAAGAAACTTCTTTTTAAAGCACCACAGTGATTGCAAAGAATGTCATTAAATTTACAAAAGTATTGAAAATATATTGAACAGCATTATAACAAGAAGTACTGTACAAAATATGTAAATTTAGCATAACTTCTTTTTTAGTATTTGCATAGTTTCCTCCAAATGAACCTTAATGGGAAGTTATCTTGCGAAAATTTAAAAGTATTAAAATGGCCTCTATTTAAGATGTAACTGCATTTATAATTATTTTGTAATTGCGAATAGATTATATTACTGCAATTAGATTATGCACTTACAACATAATTGCATAAAGTAATGAAATTAAGAGTTCACAGATACAATGCAATTACCTAAATTGTAATTATAATCACTTATTTAATACCACAATATTATTACAATCATTACAATGTAATTTAAATTGGGTACTACAATTTGCATACCCTCCACTCAAAAGGAGGTACTGATAAGCCTGGAAGTTATTATCAACAAAAAGCCTGTTCAGGACAGTTTGATGACAATTTCCACCGGGCGGAAAAGTACATTCTTAAGCCCAGGCAAATCATGACAATAAAAATCATTTAGTCTCATGATGCACTATATGATTCTATACTATTTATCCATTAATTCGCAACCCTAAATTTGAATTCTGCACCAAATTATTTACCTATATTTTAACATACTTTATGAATTATTAGAAGCGATATGGCAAATATCTTCTAAAAATAACTGTAAATATTTGTATCCATTAATTGATTCAGATACACACTTTTATTATTTAAGTATATCAAAATAACAGTTTCATGTTCCTGAAATACAAAAATTATGGAAAAAGTTAAAGTAATATTCTTAGAAGCATATGATATTAGTCACCAGATGCAAATTATAGTTAATTTTTTGCCCTAAATACAATTTTATTACACAGTAGTCAAATGTGTAACTTAATAACATGTTATATAAAAAATTAATGATAATAAGTTTATCAGAAATGAATTAATTCTGTTCTGCAATAAACTTTCTGCACTTGAAAATTTTCTACACCTGAGGGGAGGGAGAGATCTAGTAAAATTAGATTTATTATAACTTCAGTTGGACCAAACACCTTCTCTCTCTATATATATGCATCACTAAAGAAATAAATAAAATTATCATGCTTAAAAAACAGATATACCATACCAGTTTTTTTTTTCCCCTTTACATTGAGAAATAACAAACAGTACAACACTGAAAAATACTATCCTTGAAATGTTGTTTAAATGAAGAAACACACACCATCTTTTTATTTAAGCATTACACTTCAAAAACAGATACACATAATTTATTTTCACTCACTAGCCTTTATACTGATAACATGCCATATAAAAATGAAAAGAATTATCCTTGAAATTTAGATAAAATGAAGTAACACAATGGGAAAATTTATGCACACGGACATCTTTTTTCTATTGCATGTTGCCTGACATAATCCACAAGTGCCTAAAAATGTACCCAAAGAAACGCATTTCAATATTAACAAAAAATTGTTTACAGATTAAAATTCATTCATTTCATACCAGTATTATAAAGATCATGCATGAAACAAATCTGCTTTCCCATACTTTTAAGTAAAACTTTTATACTGGAAAATAGACTATATTTCTATGTATTAGAAACAAGAAAATACTAATTTGAATGTTCTGCATTCATTTCTAAAATCTTACTCCTACTCCATTGCCAAATTGTATAATACTGTGATTATAAATAAACTTGCACAATCCTTGCAATTATTGAAGTCAGATTATATATATTTTGTCTCACACTATTCAATTTAATTCCATTGACTTCAGATGTCAATGTCAAAATTCTGTTATTTTAACCAAGAAACAGTAGTGGGCACCGTGCATAAACAACTCATCTAACTTTTTAACAATAGTGATTATAAAATAAAGAAAAAAATTATATATCATTCCAACGATATTGCAACTATAGTATAATGTTACATATATCTTTAGCAAACATTCAGATTTTATCTTGACTTTTTAGTATAAATTCCACAATTAGCACAGGAAAACAAAATCCGCGCTTTATATTAGAAGAGAAATTTCTTTTCCACATTCAAAACATCTACATTGGCGATGTTTGGCGACGGGTACATTAACCCTAGACTAATTTAATTATAGCTATTATTACAGAAATTAGCAGATACTCAGGTTATTGTACACAAGAATTTCACTTTACTTGCACATTATAAACATCAGAGAAGATATAAACTCTAAATGAAGGCGTAATTAACATTATACTTACTAAGCAAAGTTCAGCGCCTGGACCAGGTTTCCAATTGTCTCTTCGCAATTATTTACCCATATTTTTCTTCATTCTTCATTTTTAGGAAATTTTACCAATGTATGACCTTTCCGTGAATGATTTGAGCAATTAATAGCTGTACATCCGCCCATTTTACACAAAACAAAAAAAAGCACAAAAAATTGTTGCACCGTAACTACACAGCCGCCATTAAATCTCCCACTTGGGAGCGCGAATGCCTGATGATTCAGCCTGGTATATAGGAGCCTTAGGTCGGACCAGAACGCTCTGCTTCTTGAATGTCACAATCCTTGTTTTTGAACTTTCGGTACCAAACTTTCACTGTGTCATATGCTACAACATTAGAACCTAAAGCTGTGTATATGATTTGGTGACATTCTGTAGCTGATTTTTTGCAACTGAACTGGAAGTAAATGATGGTTCTAATCTGGGAGCGTAATAGTTCCATTTCAGACACCTTGTACTTAATGATAACGATATGTTTTTAGAAATTTCACGACACAATGTTCTAAAGCAAGTCTCTTTCCTTCAGATGCCAAAAATCGTTTGACAAAATATTGAGTAAACATGCCAAAGCGAAAATGCAGTACAGCAATTCTCACTTTTTTCCCCATTAAAGGAAATCTTAAAGACCTTTTTTATTCCATTTGCAATCAAAAGGTAAGAGCAGCATTTTTTGGTTGGAATGATGGATGCAAAATTAAGTAAGTTTTGTTATAACACATTTTGTGTAGCATTTAAGCTGAAGGTTAATTTAAAGTCAATATCAGGTTGAAAGAATTCCAATTCTTTCAAGAAGACATAACACGGTAAACAGGCAGTTTTATTTTAAATTTAATTATGAGGAAAGGATATAGGTATGAGAACAATAATCACGCACTGATTTTTTTTAACGTCTGTAAACAGCCTAATGCACTTTAGTAACAATAGTTTAACTGTAGTATTTCCTTAATTTTTAAGTCATATGATTTCTCGAATTATTCAAGTCACTTTATTGTTCGTTAAATCACGCTATTCACGATAACACAGGTATTGTATTATGTATAAATAATAAAATTAACTTTGCATTTTTTTTTTTTTTTAGTCAGTAGTAATACTTACTAAATAATGACGCAAAATGATGAGGAAAAGATGCAATTATGAGTGCGCACGTGGATACTTTCGCTGTTACAGTCCTACAGTTAAATTGTGAAATATAGAAGGAGAAAGAAATCTTTTAATTATTTTAATATTTAAGGGCATGGAAAGCACTTTTTATAATTCAGAAAACTGTTTTGCTATCTTAAAACGTGCAATTTCCAAGTTATACGTAAGTGTTTAATAAATTATAAGGTTTAAAAAACTTCAATCTGAAAACTTCAGTTTACAATCTAACACCTCGAAGAGTTTATCATTTATGTTTAAAAATTTAAAAGTAATGTTTAAAAAACTGAAAAGTATAAAAATTATAAGTTTGAGGGAAACTGCAAGCTAATTTTAAGTCTGCAGATTTCAGGTTGATACCTGAAACAATTTTAAGCTAAGCAGTTGCTATAGGCTCATTAGTTTAAGAATTAGTGCCCTCAAAAATGAAACATAATATTCAATATTTAAAATAAACTATTCAAAATGGCTGAACAAATGGTAGGAACAAATTTGCTGTATTATTTCACTGGAAATTATTGCCTCATGGAGACTTGTAGACGTAGTTAATGATGAAAAGAATTGTTCAGGACGCTGAATGTATGAGTGAATTGTTAACATCGCTCACAAAATTTCTAGGAACTCACAAAACAGGAACTACTGCCTTTCATCCAATTTGTAACGGTATTGTAGAACGTATACATCGACAACTAAAAGCATCCATTAAATGTGATGCAACAGTTAGATGGAGTGAAGTGTTACCATCAGTTTTGCTTGGAATGAGGTCATGCATTAAAGAAGATATTGAATCTTCATCAGCTAAAATGGTCTATGGAACTTGCTTGAAACTTCCAGGAGAATTTTTTCGCAATTCGTTTTCAAATGTTGTTCCTCCAAAAGACTTTGTTGACAATCTTCGTCAGCAGATGCGACTTATTCGAGCATCTCCTGCTTCGCGGCATTCTTCGAGCAACGTGTTCATTCATGATGATTTACTTACAATCTCGCATGTCTTCTTTAGACGAGACACTGTGCGAAAATCTTTAGAGCAACTATAGGTTGTGAAAAATTTTTTATAATCGATATAAATGGCAATAAATCTACAGTATCAGTAGATCGCTTAAAGCCTGCATACATACTAGTAGACTCTTGAGAAGAAAATCGTATAAGTCACAACAAACAGTCTGAACCTGATTCTACGGTAAACCAAACGTTCCCAACTTTCACTAAGTCAGGCAGACGCGTAAAAATTGTTCAACCTTACCAAGGTTCTTAGATCGTCCTCTGGACTGGAAGAGGACCACTGTGGCAATAATTAGATTCATCGCATAGTAACGAGTTGCCATAGTAACGATAAGCTCTATGGAACGACAATTATGATATTTTTGACAATTATTGACAATTATTTGACAATTATTATTATACTTTGGAACAACAATTATTATATTTTTGACTTTTGAGTTTGTATCAGCATACGTTTCTTTCATGTATTTAGATATTCTTAACTGGTAACTAACTAACTAACTAAAGAAATATTTAAATACTAATGGAGTCATATTTTGATACAGCTCATGCAAGAGTCGTAAAGCTGTAGCAGTCCTGTGTCGCCCCGCTGAAAATGCCAAATAACGAGCCTCATTCGTCGCTGTGGATCTTTGGGGTGTACTCCACTGCGCTAATGAAAATCCCCCCCCCGGGTCAAGCTATAGTCCAACTGCGCCAATCAAAATTTCTTCCCCCTGCTGCCTACAAGGTTGCAATTTAACTTTTCGAAGCCAACTGTAGCCAAGAGGAAAATAAAAATAAATAAATAGAATTACACATCACAAGAACAGTAAAAAATATCTAGGCTATTACTTCCCCGTATAAATACGAGAGCTAACAAAGAAAAAAGGTATTGGTGACATACATATTAGCATTACAAACATCTTTCATTATTATAATATATCATAATTAAGTTTTAATGCTATTTTACGTAATTTGAATATAAAATAAAAGTTGCACTTCTGAACAAGTGAATAATGTACTGATAGTCAACAGGAATTAAAATACGTGGTTAAAAATAACTACTTGTTAGAAGTTATGCAAGTTGCCATGGCTAGAGAAATTGAATGATTATAGAAAACTCATAAAGTTAAGCGCTCCAGTGTGAAAAGAAAATTCTGGAATAAACTGTTAAAATTAGATGGAGAAATAATCCTTAATTTATTGATATCCATATAATTCTATGCTTTTGGAAAAATTACAATAATTTGCACCGATGTATCAATCACCGAAACCGAGTTAATTTTCCTTATTTTCTCTTATTAGAGGAATTTGTAAAAAGATATGCTAAGGTAAAGGTGAAAATTTTTGCAATATTTTCAAAGAATAAATTAAAAAAGTGTTTTTACCTCATTAAATTTCAAAGAATTAATTTTACAAATAATTCAGCCTGAAACTAGGTTAGAAAAAAAACTACATGCTGAAGATTAAGCTTTGCCAAGGTGTTAGAAACATCTTCTGTTAACTAGAGTTTAACTAGAGTTGTGATGCAAGAATTTGTAAAAATTATCATTTAAATATAAATTAGCATAAATACAATACAAAGTATATAAATTCTATATACATGAAAACTTGAGTACAGTGCAACAATATGTGAAAAAGTAATGGATTAAAGGGACTGAAAATCCCAGGTATGAATATAAGGGAGTTTTTTTGTTTGTATTATGAAAATTCTGCTGACGCTCATATTATTAATTTATTAATTAAATGTGTATTAGAAATAAATGTATGCCAAAGTACATCAGGTGGAAAACAGAATAAATATTTAAAACGTTTCTAGTATTAAAATATGGAATTTGTACAAAGTTAAATAACCTTAAAATATTTCATGATTAAAATGGAAAGCTTAATACGGGAATATATTGCAATAAATATTAGTGTGAATTTAGAACGACTTGAGAAGTCCAATTTTTGTTTAATGAGAGATTTTTTTAATTAAATAGAACTGTTTACCTAAAATGGTAAATTTAAAAGTTAAAACCATTCTGCTATCTAAGAAGATTTGTTAATATTTATCTAACAGAAACTTATTTAAGGTACCTAAAATGCGGTTTTGATACGTTGATTATGTATCGTTTTGTGTATTTCTTAATCTATCATTTTACTAATCAAACTGATATATATATATATATATATATATAAATCAGCGATTAAAATCTACAACTTGGAAGTTTTTAATTCTTACGAGAATAAAAAAGATCTGGCTCATCATTCCTTTAAGCATGATAAAACTTTAAAATGAGTGTAAAAGAAATTAATTTTAACTTTAGCACACACCAGACTTTAAATTGATATTTGTTTTGCATGCACAATTTTTACAATATTGATAAACGAAAATAAGGCTTGCATTATAGCAGTGTCAATAGATTATCAGTGTCATAGAATTTCCCATTAATGGCAATAGAATTTCCCATTAATGACTTTTTGTAGCACCCAATCTTCTTGGGAAAGAAATAGGGGACAGGAAACGTCGCGCAGTTCGTGGATTAGAAAAGTGGGGGACGAGGATCTTCGATCAAATTTGGCGCAGTTCGTACCCTACCGATCTTTGTTGACCTTATTCGGGTCTTATCGATATGGATACAATGTCATGAAACTGTTTCCACAAACTTCAGGCGACAATGGGCGTTACATCGAGCTCTGTAGCCACCTGCGCTTGTGATTATTATGCCTCCAACCTACTGGGCATTCTCCATCTTATTCCGTCATCCATACGTTCATGGCTATTCATTTTACCAGATATCTTATGAAATTTATCCAACTCTTGCGAGAAACACGGTGTATATTGTGAAGAAGTATGAGCACACAAATTACCCCCAACTCCCCGTGCGCTTATATTCCCTCCACAATCATAGCTCCGCAGATATATAAGTTTACGCATTCGACTTTGAATATTTGCATAATTTTTCGGAGGTGTAATTAGCACCTTTGGTTCAATACTTTTAGTAAAAATAAACATAATATGTGCAAACTCTCTTAAATTTGCAAGAAAGTATATATGAACATTTGCCAAAGATATTGCAGAATGTACTAAATATTTGCGTTTTTGAGATTACGATTTAATTTTTTGAATAGCTTATTAAAGATTGGAGGTTTTCAGAAACAAAATATGGTGTATTCCTTGGTTAACGGTGCCACCGCACATTTTGGCGAAATTTGTAGCTGATTTGGTAAAAGCTAGAAAAACATTATGGCAACTTTCAAAAAATAAAAATTTGTAGTGGAGGAAAATAATATTTATTTACCCCCGTTGCCTTTTATCCCGAATGCATTTATTCGATTGCTTCTGCTGTTACAGAATTAAATATTAGTACTTTCTGATTTTCGCCAATATTTAATGGTCTATTTATTACACATCTAACTTTTTCTTCAGCCTAATATTATATAAAGTGCAAAACAGAGAGACAAAGAAATCTTGGAAACATAAAACAAATTATCGATACCTTACAATAAATTGGTGACCATTTTTTAGCACTTTCGCTAGATACGCGAAATTTCGTGCATTGAAGATTAAAAATGGTCAACTTTTTAAGAGGGAAAAGTAATGTAGGAGCGATGCCAAATCCTGGGTGTGGAGAGTCATCATCCACAACACCCTTTTAGTTCGGGCGCCACTGTAGAGACATAAGTTAATTTTTGGAAGCAGAAAAGATGAAAAATTAGCAACTGTCTTCGCGAGAATCGAATTACGGACCTCTGGAAATACCGGCCCAGCGTGCAGAACTACTACACCACGAAGGCACACTAGGAAGGCGGGAGAAATAACTTATAACTATTCTAACAAAGGGCGCGAACTCTTCATTTATAGTAGCAATTACGTAACATGCCAGAATGTTCTCGAAAGTACTGGGTCTAGGTGGAAGATCTTGAAATTGCGGAAAGTTAATTAGAGGTTGCCTGTTCGCGCAGAGCAAAGCCATCATATTTTTTTAATATTTTACATCTATATATATATTAATTTTAGAATTTAGAGTTTAGGTTTTAAAAATTTTGTAAAAGTGCATCAAATATTACTCAAAAAGCAACCAGCTAGAAGTAATTTTATTAGAGCGTACATAGCGAAGGTGTAAGAAAATGAGGCGTTATCTAAAGCACCTGTATAAATATGTGTTGTCTGCCGAAGGCAATTTTAGAAAATATTTATGCTTTGCGTGACTTGGTGCTCGTGTGAAAGAAACATGAGTCAGAAGTTGCATACATTATATGAATACCAGTAAGATGAAAGATAATCTGCTGTAGAAAAGAAGTGGCGACGTGTTTATGCATATAAAAGAGCCTATCGAAGATTTCTCTAAAAATTAAATGAAATTGATGTTAATGTATGCACAAAAAGGGTATACAAAATATGATTAAGAAATCAATTTTTAATACTGGTCTGTAAATTAAAATTTTTTATATGTTTTATTTATTTTTTTAAAACACAAGTTATAGTATTCATGGAATAATAAATGGCAAAAGAATTTTTTTGCAAGTTTCTTGAATGCAATTATGTATATAAAAGCAGGAGGATAAATAATTTAATCAAAGATGTGTTTATTTTAGTAACTGTAACTTTCTCTAAATAAATCTCTAAATAAATTATAAGGAAATTTCAAACAAAAAAATTACGTTTGCATTTAGGAATATTACTTGTAGAATTTTTATTCCGGTATATTTGTTTTCTAGAATTTCTTAATAGGCAAAATGAATCTAGCTCGAAAGCAATAAGGAATCATATAGTGAATTATTATTCAGAAACATATCGAATTTGATTTTTGATATGTATGCCACAATTATTTCGATATTCCATTTTATATTACATATCAAGAAAACTTAACTTATCCTATAACCTAGCGAAACTGAAAACAAAAGTTTGCAAAATTCTTTAATTCCTGAAGGCCGTTGGTCATCCGTTATGTTCATAAAACGAAAATATTTTCTCCGTAGATAAGTAGAAATCAGTAAAAAACTGTATTAATCCATTCCTGGGGCCACTGTTGATTACTTACTCAAAACAAGACTTCGTGCATAAGCT